CAGGGACCCGAATACCTAGAGGCCTGGCATCTCAGAGCAGCAAAGGAGGCATTGGTTTATAGACTCGTGCTCAGGTTCATAGATGTTCAGTATCATGATGTTTGAGATTGGAAGGAATCTCTGTCAGCCCCAACAGCTTCCCACTGAGGGCACGGATGGCTCATTTCCTCACACCTGGCAGGGAGTACTCTGGCCTCCCGAACAGGATGGCATAGTATGCACTGTTGTCCAACAACTGTGGTTGGGCAATTTGGTTTTTGGTAATGGTGTTATTATCTATATATTATAAAAAGCTAGCAACCAGAACACCATAATGACAGGAACTGGACCCATTGCGATGATGCCTACTGTGGCCAGTGAATTGGTCCAATCTGAAAGTAGGGTCAGCAGGCCAACCTCCTGCAGTCCCTCCCCTCCCCAACCCCCCCAGTCCCAACCCCAATGGGCCACCACCTCCCCTTCTCCCCCCGGCTGGCCCTACCCGATTGCCTCCCTTACCCCAATAAGGGGTGGAGCTGGCCAGCCATCTACTATGGTCCCTTCCCTTACCTGGCTCCACCCCAAATTGTCCCTCCCCCACACCAATCAGGGGCAGGGCCGGCCAGCCAACTGCCTGTGGCCTCTCTCCCCAGCTTGCTCTGCCCCCAATAGACCCCACCACCCTGATCAGCCCACAGCTCCTCCCCCAGCCAACTCTGCTCCCCGATGGCCCCCCTACACCAATTGGGGGTGTGACTGGCCGGCCAACTTCCCACTGACCCTCCCACAACTACTGATCCCTGTTCAGCTCCTCCCACCCAATTTGGGGGTGGGCCAGCTGGCCCACTGACCACAGCCCTCCCTACAGCTGGCCCCGCCCCCAATTGATCACACCCCCAATGGTGGGTGGGCCCATGGCAAATCACCCATGGCCCCTCTCCTCAGCCAGCCCAGCCCTGATCAGGCCCTGATTAGTGCCAGCACGGCTGGCTGGACCCTACCTGTGCAGGAATTTGTGCACTGGGCCTCTAGTTAACTATAAAACAGACACATCAATTAGCAAGAGATATGTAGTCAACTTTAGAAAACACAAATGGTCAAAATGGGGGGGGGAAGAGATAAAAGAAATCACCTGAAATTTCTCTACCTTGTGATAAGAGGTAAACACTTTTAACATTTTAGAATATTCCCCCATATAATCACATATAACATACATATTAATTTTAGTGATATATATGAAAATAATCAGTGCTCCTTATAAATGTCCTCTTATAATCTAACTCCTCACAAGATAGGCATTGCTAGCTACTTACATATCCTGTCAGAATTTTTTTCTGCATTTGTAAATATATGTATCTTTATACTGTGAGATTATATGACATGTGTTATTACTTTTCACATCATACTATTATCTTCCATACTTCTTTCTGTGGCATTTGGCATAGATCTACCTAATCATTTTTAATGGCAGAAATATACTGTAGATCTGTCATAGTTTACTTAAATCTAATGTTGGATGTTTAGTTTGTTTCCAGGGTAGTTTTTCTTTTTAGTTTTTGCTATTATAAAGTGCTTTGCAGAAATTGAAATTCACCTTTTCCTTATTCTTGAAATGCACCTTTTCCTACTTTTTCTGATCATATAGACACAGACTTTTTATTTCTCTTGATATCTATTGCCAGTGTGCCTCTAAGTGTTTCAACCTGTTTGTCCTCTAACGGCAACAGCAGATTTGGTTTTCCCCACACATTTGTTGACACCCAGCATTTTGTAAAAATCCTTTCCAGTCCTATATGTCATCCCCTCTGAGGTTAAAGTTCCTTTCATAAGTTTATTTGCCTTTATTAGTTACTTTGAGAAAGTCTAGGAAGCAATGCTACAGTTAGCCAATTAGCAGTTGGATGACAAATGCATTTCAACTCAAGTATTAGCTTCTACCAATGGGTATGGGTGGTGACTACTTAAAGAATGCTAAGACTGTGTGGTTCAGTGAAGGGTTGAGAGGGCTTAGTGAAAAAGGTGAAAGTAATTAAGTGTAAATTGATTATTATAAACATTTGATTATTCATGTCTGTCATGGGCACAGGAAAGAATAATATTGGGGCAATTTGTCGTTTCTGGATCGGAATGTTTCCAAAAATCAAAAGCAATTAAAAACCATGTGATTGAAATGAAATGCTGTCATTTTAAAGAGGCAGAGGAACCAGTATGTTTGCCTTGAAACTGACACTTTTTCAAAATCTTTTCACCAGGTGGACTTACTTGTGCAGAAGGAAATGGCTGGCTTTTGGGTCAAAGTCCCATGTGTAGAACAATTCGGTAGCTGTTCCTATGATGACATCTGTAACGTATTTGACATGTTCCTCCCCCCTGGAGAGCCCTGCCCAGAGCCCCTGCACACCTATGGGCTTCCCTGCCACTGTCCCTTCAAAGAAGTGAGTACTCAGGGAGGGGGAGCATTATCCCCGTGGCTGGCGTAAGACATGGGGTTTAGAGAGAAGGACCCTTGCCTTCTTTCTCCAGCAGATCTGGATGTCTGTGGGTGAGATGTAAATTGGTGTGACCTATTCTGAACTGCTTATCTTTTGGGAACCTCAGTTTACTCATCTATGAAAGTTTGGGGTGACCTTCAGTGCTCTACGGGGCTATGACAGTCTCCAATCTTCGGTGGCTCTTAGGAGAATGGGAGGAGGGATGGTTCCTGGTTGCAACCTAGAGGTGGCTCCAGGATAGAGTTCTATCAGTAGGCTCCCACTGACCTGTGATCCACTGGCATTTCCGCAGGGCAAATACTCACTGCCTAAGAGTGTTATCAACATACCCCACCTGGACCTGCCCAGCTGGCTCAGTACCGGAAACTACCGCATCCAGAATATCCTAAGCAGCGGCAAGAAACATCTGGGCTGTTTCAAGATCGATGTCTCTCTACAGGCCATTAATGTGGCACCAGCTGCAGCAGAATGAAGGCCTGTGAGGAAGGTGTCCCTCGTCCTCTGTCCTGCATTTGTCAAAACCAAATTCTGATTTTCTGTCCCCCCTTCGAGCCCCTTTCCCCAGTGATGCTACTACCCTCGCTGGAAGCCATTTTGTGCCACTGACATTTTAGGTGTGGGCAAGCAGCCCTAACCTAAGGTGGGGTGATCTTGGAAGTTCTTGATGGCTCAGGACATCTGCTGGGCTGGCCACTTCATTCTCCTCTTCACCCCTCTGGCTTTCTCTCTAAAAGCTTAACTTGTTTTCCAAGCAGTTAAGGAAGAGAATGAACATGTTTTGTTACCCCAAGTTCAGGCTAACCCAGTCTTGCTCTCCTGAAGTACCTTGAATGATTTTTCTCATTAAAATTTTTTTTTTATCACTAACTTAAAAGCAGAGTGAGAGTATTATCAGTTTTCATTTTACTCCAACCCCCTCGGACAATGAAGAGCCTGAACTAGTAGACCTCAATCTGTTCCTCCATTAACGTCTGCGATTGGGGCACAGTGTATCCTGGAGAGGCAGGGAGTGGGGTGAGGGTCTTCCTCTAGGTATTTAAGATAGTCAACCTCAGGTGCCTGCAGGGCCAAGTACAAGACATAAATGAGTGATGAGGACCACAGGGAAGACACGTGCCTTCCCTTTTTCCTTTTTTATAACAGCCCATATGCATTGATGTGAGGCAGCCGATGCCCAGTCTGGAGTTGGGGATATAATCAGGGAATGATGGGGACTGGGTGAGTGGGAAAGGGCACATGCTGTTTGTAGGGGCCACTGTTGTCTAGACATAGCCAGTTAGAGCCACATGAGAATGCTGTGGGCCCAGTTTGCCAGATATTTTAAATTTCTTTTTCCTTAGAGATGCTGGAAATCCAGACTTTTATACGGAATCTTAGAATGTTTAGATATTGGCAAGGAATTATTTTTTTTAAAACACTGTGTGGGGGTCAGAGAGGCCAAACAGATTTATCAGTGGGAAAATTTGGCTCAGGGTGGCCAATTTGCAACCTCCAATTGTCCTTGAGACCATTCCTCTGGCCCCAGTTCTCCCTCTAGAGGGCCAGATGCATAGTTTCTGACACAAAGTAGGCCCTTCCTGTACTAGGGGAGGTAGAGGCAGCCCTCAGAGCTGTGAGCGCTGTCAGGGTGAATGTGGCAAATAGATGCTGAAGCGTTGGACCCACCAGCAGCTGTTCTGGAGCAAGGATCCAACAAAGAGAGGTGGACCCTGGGTTTGTCTGTCATCCTGTCCTACAATGACAACTTACCCACAGAACAGCCCTGAATTCTGGGCCTAAGATCCATAGGAAATAAGTGGCAGAACCAATGACTGGATAAAATTACTGCAAAGTTCTATTTCGTTCTGTCTGGGACTGTTCCACATAGAAGAATATCTAAATAGAAAACCCTCTTCCCCAACATATACTTTTCTAAAGTCGATGCTTTAAGGGCAGCTGCCCAATAGAGGAAACCATTGCTTTTGCATTTACAAATATGTGTAGTTTGTGATTCCAAGGATATTATGAGCAGTTGGCACCCCTTATCCCATTAAATGAGGCTGATAATGCAAATGGTTGAATGAAGTTTTGGTTAAGAGGTACAAAAGTCCTCTAAAAAATATCCAAAGCCGCCGAAACCTGTTTGGCTTAGTGGTAGAGCATCCGTCTGCGGACTGAAAGGTCCCAGGTTCAATTCCAGTCAAGGGCATGTACATTGGTTGCAGGCACATCCCCGGTAGGGGGTGTGCAAGTGGCAGCTGGTCAATGTTTCTCTCCCATCGATGTTTCTAGCTCTCTCTCTCTCTCCCTTCCTCTCTGTAAAAAATCAATAAAAAATATATATTTAAAAAATATCCAAAGCCTAAATAGATAAATAAGTAGATAGATAAAAATAGCACAGCCTGAGAGGTCTCTGTACAGATTTATGTAATCTACATTTCTCTTAGAAAGGTAAAGAAGGGACTAATTAATATAGAGATGGTAGAGTTTGCTGAATGTATATAATATCCACAGTGGAAGTCAAACTCTGGACAGGAGGAGGAAGAACTATTAGAATAAAAATAGATAATGACGTGCATGGACATCTGTGGAGTTGTCTACGGAATGGCTGTAGGGTTGGGTCAACTCATAGAGGGCTTGGTATGTCCCAAATACACACCCCAAAAGGCCCACCATGCTGATCATGACGTCCTTTGCGATGGTGACACAGCTCATGTCTTCCGTGTAAAAGGTGATGAGCTCCAGGAGGGGCGGGATGATGAGGGCCAGGGCACTGCTGCTCACAGAGCTCATCAAGGAGATGATCAGCTCCAGGCGGGGGATGATGATGGCTGAGACACCTGCAGGTGGAAAGAAGTGGTGTCACTGAGGTTCCTGCAAGAAGGGAGCTCAGAAAGAAACCGTTTTGGGGGAGCCTTATAATGCCACCTGTCTGATACGCCATTCAGGAGAGATGGGGAAGGAGCCCATTGTAGATTTGAGTATGTCAGGCACCCCGGCTCTGGACTCCCCACCTCTGTTTTGACCACTTTCTTTTTATGTTTTATCTTACTGGGTTTTTCACATATAATATTTCTTGGAAAAGCCCCTCGACCACCTATTTATTATAACCTACTCATTGTAGAGATGGGGAAATCTAGAGCTCTGGAGGCCACATGGCTGAGGTGAGAATCCATTAAAATGCCCAATCGAAGGCCCTTTCCACTCTCCTGAGGAACCTCCCATTTATAAGAAGGAACTTGGTGAATCATCGGTGTTCAACAAATGCTGAATCTACAGCAAATTTGTACTAACCTACATAATATAACCACTGTCTAGAAGCAAGGATATAAAGAATGAAAGATAGCTTATTGCTGTCAGAATCTCAGCAACTTGTTTTCATACTCTTAAAAGGATCTGGATAATGAAGGAGAACATAAAACAGAAGACAGCATTAGGCTGCTTACTCCCCATCTCTCCTATAAATACTCAAATCTCCATCTTTTATGCATATAATAAAACATATGTCATGTATTTTTCTAGGGGAGTTCAATTTTGATAACGTTTATAGAGGAATGAATAAATATACAACCTATGTGATTCAACTTTATACAACCATATGATTGTCCTATGAACAAATTAGGGGAAACCTGTTCGGAAAGCACCCTTGCTAGTTTGCTGGCTCTTGAAGAAAATAATCACATGTTTATGAGATTGCTCCAACACATCTAATCAGAGAATGAGAGAGACAGACTCTTATGGTGGGGAACCCATCAATCCTCAAATGAGATAGTCCCTATCACAGTATTCCTTCATCAGATCTTTAATAAATTTCTTAAAGAGGTACAGAGAAAAGTCAGTGTCTGTTCTCCAAGAGAGCTCACAGTGACAGGGCAGAGAAGATATGATCAAGGAAGCTCTAAAGCAAGATAGACCGGAAGGGTGCTCTCTAAGGGTCAGGTCTGGTCATGTCAATCCATTGCTCAGATGGCTCTCTCTGGCCTGCTCTCCTTAGGGCCCTGCAAATCCTCTGGCTTCATGTCTGATCACTTCCCACTGCTTTTAGTTTTCCAAAAAGGCCAGATGTCAATACTTGCTTCAGATCTGTGCAGAGCCTGCTCCCTACACATGGTACACCCTTCACTCCTCCATCTACTGCCTATTTAACTTTCAGGTCTGAACTGACCAAGGCTCAGGGTATGTGCTCTTAGGGTGTCCTTTTCTTATGGCCCTAACCGTCAGATGGCACACTTTATTGCTGTAGTTATTTTCCTGCGTATATTTTTCACTCAGCTGTAAGCCTCAGGAGGGCAGGGACCCGTTCTTCCTCCTTATTCATGATTTGTGTCCCTCATGCCTAGCACCATGTCAGGCATATGGTGGGTGCTCAACAAGCAGTTGTTGAACAGATAAAGAGTAACAACTGACAGATGAATAAAGGAAGAGGAAGTGGTCATTTAGCCTATATCAGAAGCAGACGTGGTATTAGGTCAGCTGTCTCTAGCGATGCCTTCCCTGAACCTGAGTGGCTTGAACCACTCCGTTTTTCTCTTCAACTGACACTTCCATAGGAAGGATCTCAAAACAACATATTGTCAGGTTCGTGATGTCTTGGAACAGACTGGGAACTCTGTAACACCTTAAACCGAGCAGGTGCTGTTTCTGTTGATAGAACCCCAGTTAAGGAAAGTATAACATCTGTGGCATCTCTGCTGGGCTGCTCCAAGCACTACACAGTTTCTCCTGATCCCCAACTGAGACAGGATTTCCCCTAATTTTAAACTTGGATGATTGGAGCTTTTAAGACTCGATTTGTGCTCTCCCTCTTCCACAATAATTCCACAGATGGCTGAGGACAGATAGAGAAGTTACCCAAACCCTCACTTCTCCTGGTTCCTTCCTCCATTCTTCTTGGGGCACCTTTTCTGATCTCTGGATATGCTTCCATAAAGAACCCCCAGCATCCCTGTTCATTCAGTCTGTGCGAGAAGCAGGCCATGGTATTCGGTCAGCTGTCTAGTGATGCCTTCCCATGTTCATGATGTTTCCCAGACATCTACTAGAGCACCCAATGTAGAATGAATGAGTGAATAAGTGAATGGAAAGAAGCATGAGGGAAGGGAGGGAGGGTGGAAGGGAGAGAAAAAAGTGCATCCAAAGAGTGATCCCCAAATCCTTCACAAATCAGCCCCTGGGGTTGTTCCCTACAGTTAAACACAACTTTATGATTGGGGAGTTGACCCTGATTTATGATAGGTAGGAATATGGCACAATGGAAAACACAGACTTTGGAATAACACAACCCACATTCAAATCCCAGCTCTGTCACTTAGCAGCTATATGATTTGAGCATGTTACTTAAACTGTGTGAATCACTGTTTCCGCAATTGTTACTATTGCGCTGGTAGGCTTTCTATCAGCATTAGATACTATCAGCACCACGCCTGGCATACAGAAGGCAGACAGGAGTGTGATCCAATGGATGATACTTCTTCCTCCCATAAACCAGCTAATGTATACCTTCTATGTGTAGGCGGTAGAGATTATAATATTTACTATGTGGTAGTTCTGTTAAGCCCATTTTTCAGGTGGAAAATTGAGGTTCAGAGAGCTAAAGTATCTTGCATAAGCTCACGACGAAGGCAAGTGGCGGAGCCAGTAATAGTGAGGTAGAGGCCAATGTGGCTCCCAGCCACAGCTCTGGTCAATGAAGGCCCTTATCCTACTCACAGGTCACACCGACCAAGGCTGTGCGGACAGACAGGTCTGCAAACAGTGTCCAGCTCTCTGACACCTGGGAGACGACGAAGGGGATGATGATCCCGGCGGGGACGTGGAACTGGAGGGCGTAGGTGAAGAAGATGCCAATAGAGTACATCAGCTTGACTGACTGGTACAGCCTGCAGATAGACAGACAGGACGGGAAATGCGACGTGGCTCCTGGGCAGGGCCATGCAGGACCTGCTTACTGCTCAGAAGCCGGTACCTGTGACAGAGCTGGCTAGCTTCCAGTGACTCAGGCTGGACCTGCCATCAGAGCCACCTAGAAGCTTATGAAACATGCACATCCCTGGAGATTCTTATTCAACAAGTCTGTGGCTCAGAAATCAGTGCCTTTTTTCTTTTAGTTTTTAAAAAGGTATATCACCCTAGTTGATTTGCCTCAGTGGATAGAGCGTTGGTCTGTGAACTGAAGGGTCCCAGGTTCAATTCTGGTCAAAGGCGTATACTCCGCTGTAGGCATGATCCCCTGGTCAGGCTGTCGGGAGGCAACCAATTAATGTGTCCCTCTCACATTGATGTTTCTCTCTATATATCTCTTCCCCCTCCCCTCCATTCTCTCTAAAAATCAATGGGAAAATATCCTTGGGTGAGGATTAACTAAAAAAAATAAAAATATAAAAAAGGTGTATCAGCATAGAGTAAAATTCATACCACTAAAGCCATATAGTGAAAAACCTCCCTCCCACCCTTTATTCCCAGTCACCAGTTTCTCTCTCTACAGGTAATCCCTCTAACAGTTTTCTTGTAGCCATTTCAGAAATCAGTAGATATGCAAGCTTATTTAGATATTCACACACACACACACACACACACACACACACACACACACACAAACACACACACACACACTCACAGGGCAGCATCCTCTACACACTACCGAACTCTGTCTTTGTTCATTAACTATGCCCTAGAGATTGTTCCCTATCAGTACACATAGATCTGGCTTTTCTTTTTAACAGCTGGTTGGTATTCAAATTGCATGAATATACAACAGTTTTTTAACCAATATGCAATAAATGGATATTTAGATTATTCCTAGTTGTTGTTTTTCTGCCAGTAAACAGTGCTGCCAAGACTACCCTTGTACATATATCTCTGCACATATAGTGTGCAATCCCAGAAGTAACAATGATGGGAAGAAGTACATGAGATTTACTACTGCGATAGCTGTTGCAGTGGCTGTGTGTGTGGGTGGTCCTGGCCTATTGGAGGGCTGGTTTCCACATCCTTGCCCAGACAGTGTGTGAACACCTGCTGCTCTTTGCCTTGGGGCTTTTGAAACATTGGCATTTCTGTTATGAGGGAGACATAGCATTTTAAACATATATAAAATGCCATTTCCTGGGATTTGTCTGTGAACTGTATCATCATGGTCATCTTTTCTTAGCTGTTGGTCTCATTATTAGGGAGGGCTATTTGCGTATGCCTTCTTGCAGGCTGCTCTGGTGACTCTCATGAGCAGCCAGACTTAGAGCAGGTGTGAAGTCCTCATGGTACCCGATGTCCATGTTTTCCAATGGAAGCCCCCTCTGGAAGGAAAATGCCCTGTCCCAGGTGGCCAGTGGCAGCCCAAATTGCCCAGAATAGGAACAGCCTATGAGGATGCTATATGTCTTGTGTAAAATAAGTCTCAACCTCAAAGAAATGCCACATGTATCTTCTAGTCATTACTACAATGCAGTGAGGAGGGTGGGGCTGGTAATATGTTTCTCATTTTGCAGTTGTGGCCTTGAGGGAAATGAATGGCCTGCCATCCTACCTTCCCCAAAAGACCCAGAGTGTGGGGACACACAATCATGACAATAGTCAACATTCAATGAGTGCCAGACACTTTTCTAAGCTCTTTGTGTGGAACCAATGAATCCTAAGGGAGTGTGGAAGTCATCTGTCCATCTGCAAGACCCTGAATTATCCCTCTGGAGTTATACTTTTTGTCACTGCTCTTTCTTTTTTCCAAACACTCCTGATCTTTCCTGTTGTAGGGCCTTGGAATAATAGAGTCATTCAGATTCAGCTTCAAGCTTCAGCTTCTCCCAAACAATATGCACCAGGCGAGTTACTTACCTCTCCAAATATCAATTCCCTCACCTATTAAACGGAATTGAAAGTAAGGATGCTAACTCGTAGTGCCTGGATTGTCAAATGTACCTGTTACTATAATGCAAACATTAGCAGTTAGCATTTTTCGCTAATAACAATACAAGGAAATGCCACAGTTGCTGCTAAGACTCAGGGCCCATCCCGGGTGTCAGGGACATACCAGCAATTGGGCAAGTTGAGAGTGATGCTGGCCTGGGTGTTCAACCCGAACTTCATGTAGCCAAACGACCCCATGCAGATGAAGAGGATGATGACAAGGGACATCCCCAAGTACAGGACAAAAGAAAACTGCTGTGGGTGCTTCATCTGGTTTTGGAGAGGCAGAACCTGGTGGTGAAAGGAAGTTGTGAAGGGAAAGGTAGAAGGAGACGTGACACCTTGTGAAGGAGCTGGTTCCCCATAAGCATAGACATCTTTTTCCTCCTGGCCCTGGGGCCAGGAAGGGGCCTCTCCACATGGCCGCCCCCTGCCCCCTTGCACTTCCCTCCATGCTCTCTATTGCCAGGACTGCCCTCCTCCTCCATCTGGGCTGAACAGTGAAATCTCACTCAGTCTTCAAAGCTTCGTGTGGTGCACAGGGCATTTGGTGCCCTGAGAATGGGCCCTGCCATTCCCTTCCACCAGGAGAAGATCATATTCTCACTTTTCACAAATACTATTATTTGCTCAGCTGGGACAATGACTGGCTTCCTTCGAGAGCACATGGGACGCTTCGCTCAGAGCCCACATCCATCTTACCATACCGATGCCTTCAAACGCGAAGACGGCTGTACCGAAGAACAGCAGGAAGTTCTCCCAGCTTGCCATCAAGGGCAGGTTGCTGGGATCTGGAATCTCCTGAAAGGAAGGGGAAGAAGGGCATTGGCTTTGCCATGGCACAGATATCATTGCCTGGCAGAAAGCTGGGCCAACCCTGATATCCACAGAGAAAGTGCTATGAGCACCCAAGAGATACCCAGAATTGCTCAGCCTTCTCATCTCTTAAAAAGTTATTCTTGTGGTAAAATACACATAGCATAACATTTACAATTTTAACCATTTTCAAGTGTACAGTTCAGTGGCATTAAGTATATTCACACTGTCATGCAACCAACACCACTAGCCATCTCCAAAACTTGTTCACATCCCAAACTGAAACTCTGTACCCATTGATAACTTCCCATTATCTGGCCCCCTGGTCACCCTAGTTTACTTTCTATCTCTATGAATTTGACTATTCTAGGTATCTCATGGAAGTGAGATCATACCATATTTGTCCTTTTGTGATGGCTTACTTCACTTAGCATCATGTTGTACCATAATTGATTCATGTTGTACCATAGATCAGAATTTCATTCCATTTTAAGGCTGAATAATATCTCACTGCATGTATTTACCGTATTTGTTTATCCATTTGTCCAGTGGTGGGCTTTGGGGTTGTTACTACCTTTTCGCTATTGGGAGCCCTCTCATCTTTAAACATGAGACCCAGGGAAGAGAGCGGAATTGCCTGAGACTATCTCCAAGATAGGGGCACAGCCCAGATAAGGATTCCTCTCTCTTTCTCAAAGTCAATAAGAATAAAAAAATCTTACCAAAAAAAAAAAATCTTAAAAAAAAAAATGTTCACAGCTATCACCATAGCAGGGACTGCTCAGAGCAGGGGGTCTCCTTCTTTACCTTGATCTGCCCATAAAGGTAATAACTTTTCTGGGTGTCTCAGAACCACTTCTGCCTTCAGGCACTAACCTGCAAGATATACTCAAAAATCAGAATCATGCTCCCCAGGGTGGTGATGTTGGCCAGAGTCGAGAAGACAGACAGCACATTGAGGTTCTGGATAAACACTAACAGGACCAGGAAGGGCAGGATCGTCAGCATGTAGAAGCGAATGTCCAGGATGGGAGCCAGCACCAGCTTCTTCCTGGGTTGGCAGATGTTGGAGGTCACGTGGGCTTCTTCCACTATCTGACATAGAGCACAAAGAAGGGAGTACAGTTACGGGTAAAGATTAAACAAAGGATACCCACTTAAGTCTCTATTTCAGATGATGAACAGGTAACTTTTTAGTACAACTTGTCCCGAATATCACATAGGACATAATCATAGTAAAAAAAAAAAAAAAAAAAAGGTACTTGCTGCTTATCTGAAATTCCAATTTTGTCATCTAGCCCAACCTCTTCTTTCCTACAAAATGGTTTTCTTTCCTACACCCAAACATCGGAAGTTGATGACACAAAGGTATTTTCTTCTACTTTAGAAAGCTCTCAATAATAGGCACTTTCAGTCTATTTGAATATTCCATCTACATTACTTGTCATAGTTCTGGCTGTTTGACAGCGCAAACACAAATGTGTGCTCTCTACTCCATGAAGTCAAGAGAGAAGACTAAGATTGATTTGTAATGCCTGTTAGGGATGTAATGAGGTCAAGGTTGTAGCTTGTTTGCCTTACATTTAATTAGTCATCTCTATATGACAATCCTCAGGTACTTAAAGTAAACCTTACTAACACTTCAGGCTAAAAAAAAAAGCAAAAAACAACTCAATTATTTCTGATTGGACATGCTTGTAAACCTCTCTCCCTCCTGGTTACACCCCTCTATGATCCTTTAAAAGAGCGATTCCCAGGATTGAGAGAATTCTTAAGAGTAGTCTCATCATGGTTAGAAATGAAGCCATCTCCTCCCATGATCTGAACTCCATACTTTTGCTCATGCAGCCCTAGCAGTAGGAGGTCTGCTTTCCTCCCATTTTATCTAGAAGAGGCCTCTTTACCTGTTGTAAATTGTCTGCCATAAACATAAAATACACACTGCAGAAGCCCAGTTGAGTAACGATTACTAAGAAGCTGACAGTGTACCTGGGAAGGAAAAGAAGAGGCAAACAGAGGGAGAAAATTACTTTTTTTAAATGCACTAATTTTTATTTTTTGAAACAATAATTTCTGTTATTTTAAATATTTCCCCATTTTTCTATATTGAAAATTTTCAAGACCACAGAAAAAGGTGAAAGACTAGTATAACTAACATCCATATATCCTTTAACTAGATATACCAATTGTTAACTTTTGGCCCTAACTGCGTCATGTAGGTATTTCATACACACACACACACACACACACACACACACACACACACACACACACACACGTTTTCAGAACTATTTGAAAGTCAATTGTAGTTAGAACACCTCAACTCTAAATACCTCGGCATACCTCTCTTAAGATTATAATGCCCAGAAAATCAACTTCAATATATACATATAGTCCATATTTTTAAATAACCCAATTCTCTCCAAAATATCTTGATTAGCTGTGTGTGTTTTTTAATTCAGAATCTAATCAAGCTTTGTATATTGTATTAAGGTTGTGTCTTTTTAGTCTTTTTTTACGTGGAACAGCCCCAAATTCACCCTTTTTGATTTCCATGACCTTGTTGTTCTGGGAAGAGTCCAGGCCAACTGTCATGCTGAATGTCCTCATTGTGGACTTGTACAATTGTTTCCTCGTGATCAGGTCCAGATAAGCACTTTGGTAAGCGTACCAAGTAAGTGATATTTTGTACGTTTTTTCATCATATTGGGAGGCACATAATGTCCTGTGGTTACACTGCGAAGTAACTGCCAGACTTTTCCAATGTACATTTCCTTCTTTGTAATCCGATGGTAAAACTTTGAGATGGCATGAAAATCTGATTCCCCTCAAACTAAGGGTTTTAACGTTCATTAATGACCCTTGCCTGGATCAATTATTTCATCAGTGGTTGCAAGGTGGTGGTTTTCTAATTTCATCTGTTACTTCTTCTAAATTTATTAGCTATCATTTATTCCTTCTCCACTTTTTTTTAAATTACAATAGACTCACATTAATTTTTTTGAACTTTTGAGCAAAACTGATGACATTGCTGGGAAGCAAGATTTCAAATGCTCCCTCAGATCCATTATTTTAAAAATTAATATATTATACTCCATCATAATCATTATGATTTTATTTTTATTTTTAAAATATGTTTTTATTAACTTTAAAGAGAGGAAGGGAGAGGGAGAGAGAAATAGAAACATCAATGATGAGAGAGAATTATCGACTGGCTGGGGATTGAGCCCACAACTAAGGCATGTGCCCTGACCGGGAATCAAACAGTGACCTCCTGGTTCATAGGTCAATGCTCAACCACTGAGCAACACTGGCTGGGCTCTTTTAGATTTTTAAGTTGTCTCCATTTGAGGATGCATTTATTTATTTTTAGGGAATAAAGATATGCTCCTCTATTTAGATTCTAAAGTTTAGATTAGTTAAATGATACTTCAACATTGGGTTGTAGTATCAATTGCATCAGAATCATCTGAGGTTTAGGCCAGAAAATATAGATTCCTGGCTCTCAATCAGCTTTTGAGTCAGAGGCTAGGTGATGTCATGTGGATTTCAAAATGGAGACATCTTTTCTCTCTTTACTAGGCACATTTTTAAACATATACAAAAGCAATGACAATAATTCAGTGAATTCTCGTGTGCCCATGCCAGCTTCAGCAACTGAAGTTTTTTCCGCTCCTCCTCCATCTATCCCTTCACGCCTACACCTCACACATGCTTCTTTTGTTGGGATATTTGTAGCAAACTGAAGATCTCGTGGCACTTCACCTGTCAATAACTCAGAATGCAACCCTAATGGACAAGGACTTAAATAGCCATCATGCCATCACCAACCCTGACAAAATTAATAGTAATTCCTTTATATTATTTCATATTCAGTCCATATTCATATTTCTCCAATTGGCTCAAAAATGTCTATTTTACAGATTCTAGAAAGTTTAAACATTGCATTTAGTTATTAAGTCTCTTAAGTTTTTTAAACTGCTAGGTTCCCTTTGACCTGTTTTATTTGTTTTTCTTTGAAACTTTTAGTTTTTTGTTCATATTGAAGCTATCAGATACTTTGTCCCATAGTATGGCCCACTTTCTAGATTTTAGTGGACGACCTTATAATGTCAGTTTCTTGTTTCTCTATCCTGTAAACTGATGTTAGATCTAGTAGCTTGATTAAACTGACGCTCATCATTTATCTTCTTGGTGAGGATATTTTAGAGGCGTGCTCTTGTACTCCCTACTGTACCCCTTCATAAGATATCTCACATCTGGCTGTCCTGTGTGTAAACATGAGATGCTAAAATTAGTATCTGGGGTCTGGTAGTGTCAGTGTATTCTTCCTTCATGAAGTTTTGCAATGACCTTTCACCTCATGGCTTGAACATCCATTGATGATTGCTGCCTACATGCAATGGGCAGTTTGTGTTTTTCTTAAATCTTTCATTGATTTTTTTTTTTTAAGAGAGGAAGAGAGAGGGAAAGAGAAACATTGACACTGGAACAAAACATTGATCTGCCGCTTCCCGCACACCACCACCGGGGACAGAGCCTGCAACCCAGGCATGTACCCTGACCAAGAATTAAACTGGCAACCTTTCAGTGCACAGGACATGGCTCAACTCAACCAATTGAGCCACACCAGCTAAGGCTAAACAAGCAGTTTTTCATCAAGCTACGCAGGTATCCCTTGGCACACTAAAAATTACAAATTGTTGTTATAAATGTTTTCCCAACTCCTTCTCAGGTACTTGACTGCCAGAGAAATGGAATAGTGGGAGCTAGATGTTCGGGATTCCAGTTGTTGCTCTGCCACTACATTCCTGTGTAAACTTGGGCAGCTTTATTGTCCCATCTGGGCTTCGTTCCCTCCCCCCCTCCATTTGAATAGCCATGGTTATGGTGATCTCTAAGGACCCTTCACACCCCAAAGATTTTTCCATGGTGCCATCAGAAACTGACAAACCATGGTAAAAAGGATGGGGCAATTAGGAGTCACCCATTATTACTGCCTGATAATTAATGTGACTCATATGGGGAGATCAATGACCTACTGAGAGTCCTCAGTGAGGAGTGGCCACAGGAATCTTGGGAGCCACAGTGCTGACTCACTACCTCCTGAGGGGCTCTGCTGGGAAGGCTGAAATGTGAGGTTCTTTTAAAGATTTTTTTAATGGGTTTTTAAAGAGAGAGGAAGGGAGTGGGAAAGAGAGAAACATCAATGTGAGAGCAGAACATGGATGGGCTGCCTCATGCACACCTGCTATGGGGATCAAGCCTGCAAACCTGGGCATGTGTTCTGACTGGGAATCGAACCTGCAACCCTTTGGTGCACGGAAAGATGCACACTGGCTGGGGCTGAAATGTCAGGTTCTTAATAGAATCTCTGCTCCACCACTATCTCTATGTCCGTGGACGTATTATTTTGTCTTTACGAGCCTTGGTTACTTCATATTCCCAGGACAAAAAACTGTCAGCCTACCTCACAGAGTCATTGAGAAGATCAGAGGAGCCAAGACATAGAAGAGCATTTTGAATGCCAAACTTTTTATCAAGCAAGGGAACAACCTAAATGTTCACTATTAGGAAAAGGATTAGATAAATCTATGGTATACATCCATACCGGGAACATCGTGAGCTTTAAAAAATGAGAGAGATTTCTATGTCCCAGTGTGGAAAAAAATTTGAAACATATTGTTAGATAGAAGAGCAAATTTCCAAAAAATATTCTAATTAATGTATAAGATTATACAAAACAAAGTGTATATTTTCAGCCCTGGCTGGTGTGGCTAGGTTGGTTGGGTGTCATCCTGTGCACCGAAAGGTTGCCGGTTCCATTCTCCGTCAGGGCACATGCCTGGGCTGGGGGCTGGATCCCCAGTAGGGAACATACAGGAGGCAGCTGATTGATGTTTCTCTCTCTTTCTTCCTCTCTCTAAATTTTTTTAAATTAAAAAAACATTTTTTAAATCTTAAAAATATATATTCCCATTCCCACACAGATATCCACATACATGCAAAGAAAAACAAGTCTAGAGGACCCTTGCCTAACTAGGTAGCAGCGATTACTTCTTGTGTAAAGAGTGGGAGTGACAATGGAACTGTTGGAGGAGATGCTCTATATTGTTTGACACTTTGCAATAAGGACATATTCATTTAAAACCTGTGTAACTAGAAATAAAGGAAGACCAGGGGAGGATTATTAGTGCTGCTGCTGTTGTTGTTGTTATTATTACTGCTATGACTATTACCTTCCCCACACTGAGTGGGTCCTGAGCCAGGCGTTTGGGCACGTTTCAAGGCTGTACATCATGGCCTCCCCGTAGTTCACAAAACTCTTTTGCCGTCTAGAGAAAGAACAAGAAATGCATTACTTAGAACTATTTGTGAAAAGTACAATGTACTCCCACAGAGTGTAATTATTATACATATACTTGTGTGTTCACAGGGAGCATTTTATTAATAGTTATTTTTCTAGCAACACTTATTACCGAAATATTCTATAACAGTATACTTGAACAACTTTCAGGAGTCAGCTTTTTTTCTTTTTCTTTTTCTTTTTGTAGCAGTTTTATTTTAAATACTGCTATTGAAGTGGATTTTTAAAAAACAAAGAGTAGCTGTGAATTGATGAGGCCTGCAAACCAGGGGAGAGGGGACCTGAAAGGAGTGTGGCATGTGCAAGACCGGTCAGGGCGAAGAGGGGAGAGGAAGAGCAGGGTTGGGTTTCTGGACTTACATTCCCTCCTTCCCACTGCTGAGGGTGTTGGGACATTTGGGAGGCCTATCTGGGACCATATCACACTCAGAGTTTATACTCGGGCTCCTGCCTAGCAGCCCTGTGGGATGTGACACCCACATTCCAGCCTATCTTGTCCCTCTTCCCTCGGCGGCCCTTTCGCTGGGTGGGGAAGGCCTTCCTGAGTAAGTGGGAGCAGCAGCAGTTTGCTGAGGGCCCTGATCCATGTCAATTGCAGGGCGGAGGGGAGTAGCTGGGAGGGGAAAAGGTCCCCAGACTTGCCGAGAAGCCAGGGTTTAGATCCCAATATGCCCTCTCTGATAGCTGGGAGACCTTGAATAGGTCTCTCTAGAGTTCTGGGCCTCAGTTTGGGTTTGGGGGAGAAGACAGTGAAAGATGGATACAGAGATGGGAAGGCAGCATGAATCTTCTATTTTTATTATTGCTGTGCTTGGCATTTCAAATATAAAGGAGGCCACAATGCATACGACTGGCAAACATTGGTCTGGGGATTACAAATTCAAAAGCCCTGGGGTCTAGACCCATAACAGTAATGTGGTGAGAGGGGCTGGTAAGAGATAATAGGGAATAGTAGAGACAGTGGCAAACCCTCTGGTTCACACCCCATCCTAAAAGGGGTTGGCTGGGACTTGGCTTCAGCTAAATGATAACAGAGGGAAGCCCCAGATGTGCCAGATGTCTAATGGGCAAGAAGAAGATGAAGATCTTTTTTTAAATGTGAAATCTTTGAATTTTTAAGCATAGTCTAAAACAAAACAAAAACTATGGAATTTCCCCAAAACATATACAAAGGTCCTAGTCAGCTCTTCTACCACCAGCCAGCTCTGTATTAGGAAGGAAGGAAGGAAGGAAGGAAGGAAGGAAGGAAGGAAGGAAGGAAGGAAGGAAGGAAGGAAGAAAAGAAAAGAAAGAAAAAAAGAAAAAAAGAAAGAAAAGTCATTAAAAAAAACACACAAAAAAACCAACAACAACAACAACAAAACAAAACAAAAAAAAAAAACACCACAAACAACAACAACAAGCAAACCCCAGGGGAAGGCTATCATGAATGGCATAGATATTAGAAGCCTACTTGGTGATATAATGGCCCCAGTAGACTCGATGGAAAAGGAAATTTGCAAAATGTTACAGTGAAGTCAGAAAGGTCTTAGAGTACCACGTCTGCCACTCCCTAGCTTTGTGACCCTGAGCAAGGCATCTAACTCAGATCTAAGTCTCAGTTTGCTCATCTGTAAAATGGGAATAATGGTGCTATGAAAGTTTACTGTGAGGAGTAAATAGAAGAAGGCTTGCAAAGCTCCTGCCGTGTGCCCCACAGTGTAATTGGGCAATAAATATAATTGAAGAACGAGTAAGTTCTCTTAACAGTGTTTTGTGAGCTGGAAAGTGCTAACAAATTAGGTGTGACTGATATAATTTCCAGATACACCTATTTGGGTTTGATAAATTGGCTTTATGAGGAGTTTCATCAACTTTGCCTTTGGAAGTCTTTCTGCACGTGTCTGATGATGCGGTTAGCCTTACACACCTCCGTAACAGCTCAGAGTTATGGATAGAGAGCCACCAGGTGGTGGGATGTAAGGAATTACCAATCATTCATGAATGATAGTCTTTTATTTACATTTATTTTTTATTGATTTCAGAGAGTAAAGGAGAGGGAGAGATAGAAACATCAATGATAAGAGGATCATTGATCAGCTGCCTCCTGCACGCCCCCTACTGAAAATCGAGCCTGCAACCCAGGCATGTGCCCTTGATCGGAATCAAACCTAGGACCCTTTAGTCCACAGGCTGACGCTCTATCCACTGAGCCAAACCAGCTAGGGCGAATGTTAAGTTTTTAAATAGGAAACTCTCAGCATTACTTGTTTTCACTGAATTTGTCTTTTCTTTGTATTGAAGTTTAAAAAATATAAATACTGAGTATCAGATGTGGACTGATGTAACTGCAAACTAGTCATTTCATTGCTAACTTTTTTACTTTTACTAAATTGTCCCCCCAAAAGTTTACCTGGAACAAATTACTCATACAAAATGCACATATGGGAGGTGGGAGAGGTTGAGGGTGGGAAGAGTAGAGGAAGAAAAACATCTCTAAGTATCTCACATATACATGGTGGTTTACAGAGCATGTTTGCATCTAGTATCAATGTGATCTCTCTATGTTCAGGGGGAGCTGGAACTTGACTAGTATCATCCAGCTAGTGAGCAGCTGAGTTGGGCCTGAACGTAGGAGTTTCCAGTGGAGGTTCTTTATCACCGCCTCTGTAGAATCTAGAACAGCAGGGGCGGTGGTGGCTTGAAGAAATGACCAGGTAATTGGGTTAATGTCAAAGGAAACTCAACACACCCTCAGACAGGGCCTGGCATGGGCTGAGAGAGAAGCAGGACCCTTACCTGTGACTGAGGTGATTCGCACAGTTCACCAGGATGACCATGCAGTGCACTGTGATGATCCCGATGACCAGCAGGCTGAGGAGACCGACCTGGAGGGAAGAGAGAGGTAGGGATGGTTAGCCACACATGGATCGCTCCCACAACCCAGGCCTCTCCCAGCCTCTGACAATAAAGCTGCCTCTGGGATGGGAGCACCTGCCTGAATGTCCTGATCCCTCCAGATGTTCTGGCCTACATGCTCTTCTTAGCATCACTATAAAGTGGCTGCCCAACCTCCACTAGGACACTTCCAGTGACAGAGTACTCACTACTTTCCTAGACTTGGGACTTTTTCCTCTAGCACAGATTGTCAACATGGGTACTGGTGACATTTTGGACCTGACGATTTTTGGTTGTGGGGCTGTCCTGTGTGTTTTAGGATGTTCAGCAGCGTTCCTTGGCTTCTACTCACCAGGTATCAGTGGCATGCTCTCTTTCCAAACAAGTTGTGACAACCAGGAATGTCTCTAGATATTGTCAATATCTTTGGGGACGCGTGTGAAAAATTGTCCGCAGTTGAGAGTCACTGCCTTAGCGTGTCTAATTTGGCAATACTTCTTTCATTTTTAACTAAGAATTGTATACATTTAAGGTGTACAACATGATGATTTGATATACACATAGATAGTAAAATGATTACTGTAATCAAGCTAATGAACATATCTTCTCACATAGTTTCCATTTTTTCTTTGTATGTGGGAAGAGATTAAAAAACAGGGCTCGCCGGAACCGGTTTGGCTCAATGGAGAGAGCATCGGCCTGCGGACTCAAGGGTCCCAGGTTCGATTTCAGACAAGGGCACATATGTTGGTTGCAGGCACATCCCCAGTAGGGAGTGTGCAGGAGGCAGCTGATCGATGTTTCTTTCTCATCGATGTTTCTAACTATCCTTCTCCCTTCCTCTCTGTAAAAAATCAATAAAATATATTAAAACAAAACAAAACAAAACAGGGCTCATTATTAAACATAATCTCCTATGCAGTGCACTTGGCATAGAGTAAAGAGGATCTGTTTCACCTCCTTTGTTCTGGACACTCATACTTTAGAGATGTGACCTAATATTATCTCTCATAAAGAAACAAATGAGAGATCAAGAGTACCACTAGATTCCACTAGAATGTAATCTCCTCAGAGACTCTGCCTTATTTACTTCTATATTTCCAGGTCCTAAGAATCCACATAATGGTTATTCAATATACATAGTTCTCAAGTGAATTATGGTCAAAGGTTCTGGTGGGAGATTAGGAAGCAAAATCAAAGTACAAAAGAATTATCTTAAACAGAAAAATCCCTACGGGCAAAGATTGTGGCAATGGGGTAATAATACTCTTCAGAAATTCTAGAACCCTGAGAATTCCAAAGGGGAGAGTCCCATTTCTGGGTTAGAACTGCCATGGGTTGGAAGTTATAACAGAAGCCAGCGTCTCAATATGCCTTCTTTAGACACGAGGCCACTTACCAGGCCTGGGTGGAGGAGAGATTGACTTCGATTAAATGGAAACCTTCTGTTTAGCATTAATTCAGTACACATGAATTGAAACTTCCTGTGTGCCAGTCACTACAGTAGGCATGGTGGAGAGGTGTTAAGATAAATCAAAGTTCCTGCCCTCAGAACTTTCAGGTAAGTGAGGAAGACAGAAATATTAGAAAAGAAGTGTGTCTTACTTTTATAAGTGCTGGAAGAATTCCAAGTGAGGTAGGTATGAGTTCTAGAAAACCCGAAGGTGACAGTGACATTAATGTCAAAAGGAATCAATTAGTCAAGTTTTACAGAGGAGGGAGAAGAGAATGGCTTACGAAGAGACAGAGGTGGGTAGCAGGAAGAGTGGGGGACTGGAGAAGATGTTATCCTCATCTTCCAAGACACTCTCTCCGAGGTGATCAAATGGGCTGAAAACAAGCCACATGTTCACACTAACTTCAGGGACCAGGCTGCCACTGTGAACGAGTGAAATGGGGTGGGTGATCCTGGGGCATGGGGAGGACTGTGGCAAAGCTGACTATGTATCAGTTTGTGAGGAGGGTCTTGAAGAATAAGGGCAGGGCAGTGGGGGAATGGAATGGAGATGGTCAAACTTCCGGTTATGAGATAAATAGGTACTGGGGATGTATGTACACCATGAGGACTGTAGTTAACACTGCTGTGGGTATATTTGAAAGTTGCAAAGAGAGTAAACTAAATGTTCTCACCTCAAGGGAAAAACATTTTTTGTAACAGGATGATGAATATTAGCTAAACTTATTGTAGTAACTATTTTGCAATATCTCTATATCAAGTCATTATGTGGTACACGTTAAACTCATACAGAGCTGCATGTCAATTACACCTCAATAAAACTGGGAAAAGAATAATGGGCTCCAGGTTGGCTCCTGTGGATTGATGCCTGCATTCACATTTGCTCTTACAGAGGGTACCCCCAAACTGTCTATTGATAAACAGTGCAAAGGCCTCAGGAACCTACCACCCCATTCCCCGAAATGAGTAAACCTAGTTTTTTATCACCAGATTCCTCTTACCAAGATGCCGGCATTTTTCATGGCCACGGGAAGTCCCAGGAGCCCAGTGCCAATGTTGCATTTCAATAAGTGGATCAAGGTTTGCATCATCCTGTGTGGGAAGAGCAGGGAGACAAGAGAGCATGTTAGTGGAAGGGAAGGGTGGCCCAACTCAGCCTCCTTCCAGCACCCTCTGTAGGGAAGAGGGACAAAACCCGATAAAGTGGACTCTGGTTTAGGTCCCAGGATCTGTCCTGGAGTAGCTGATCCTGGTGGGCTAGTTCAGATAGCTCAACAAATATGTTTTTTAATTAATTTATTTATTTTTAGAGAAAGAGAGGAAGAGAGAGGGGGAGACAGAGATGGAAACATCAATGTGAAAATGAAACATTGACTGGCTACCTCCTGCATGCCTCCTACCTCTGACCAAGCCCACAACCTAGGCCTGTGCCCTGACTAAGAATCAAATTGGCAGTCCTTTCAATGCATGGGACAATGCCCAACCAACTGAGCCACACGGGCTAGGGGAGCTCAACAAATATTTAACATGTACTAAGCGTTAAAGAAAATGTTTCTAACAATTGATACAATCTGGATAACTCGCTAGTACCAGTTTATTCATTAACTCACCCAGTGCTTTCTTTCATGATTTATTCACTCAATATTTATGAAGACCTACTAGATGTAGCATTTAGGTAGACAGTGAAAAAAAATTAACAATTTTCTCAATTTGGGGAGTAATTATTGGTGCCAGGTCTTTGATTAATTCACTCCCTAGAAAAAATATAACCTCCCACCAATATATGGAGTATTTACTGGTTCTTATTCACTCTTTCATCTATTTACCCAACTAGTATACATTTTGAACTTATTCCATGCTATGTAAAATTTAATAACATTGCCACTGTGCATGTAGAATGCTTACTGTGTGTCTGGCAGGGGTTAGTTAAGTTTATATATTATATCTAAGGATAGGGACACCCATTGTCCCTTCACTTCTAAGAGGTGACATTTATTTCTTAGTAACTGGAATTATTGAAAAATATGCCAAAGCAAAAACATTAAAGAATGTTTTGTCAATTCTTTGGTAATAATTTTTCCAAAAGATTTGCTCTTTCTCCTTCCTTCCCTCACTTCTTTCCTAGAGTGGTGTCTAGTCTTACTTGAATCAGGTCTCCTGGGAAAGGTGAGACAAGTTTTTGGAGAAACTGTTAGCTAACAGCATTATAGATCAGGGCCTTGGAGAATAAAACATGTAAGGAATTCCTGGGAATTAATATATATATATATATATATATATATATATATATATATATATATATAATTTTATTTTTTTTCTTGAAAAATATTACATTGATGTTATAAAAGGAAATGCCAATATTTCACCAAATGGGAATAATCACCCTTAATATCTTGATTGACAATCTCCTGGGCATCCTTATTTGCTTTTAAACACACAACATTTACACAAGGAGAAGCATTATCATACTATATATTAAATTAATTGTCATTATGAATAGTATGTCCTATACATTTTTTCATAACCATATATTTCCTTCATCACTTGTAATGGCTGTATTTACTCTATTGTGTGTGTACATACTTTATTTAAATGATCTCTTGTTGTTTTGTCAACCTTATAATCAGTGTTTCAATAAAATAATCATGCATACCTATCTCTCCCTTCTATCTCTCATTTATTTCCCCAGAGCAGTCATGACTGCCAGTTCTGTGTGTATGTGTATATTTTCAAAGAAAGCATATGCAAAATAGTATTTGTGTGTTTTATATAAATATACATTAGGATTTTTAATACATTACAACAGTGTCATCTACAAAGATACCAAAAGGACATGAGAAAGGAGGATCTTTCTTGACACCCTATTAACACTGGGTATTGTCATTTATAATCTCATTATACCATGGCAATTATGTGATCTGATTACTAGGTAACAGTCTGCTTGGAAAATAAATGCTAAGAAAAATTTCCATGTATCTGAGTCTATGGCAGTTAAAATAGGGACATAAGACTAGGATGTGACCTTTTGTTTCCTGGATGGGTTTGTTGTTGGGAGGGAGGCGGGGAGAGAGAGGAAGAAACAGAGAAAATGAAGACTAGTAGCTGCAAGAGAGGAGAGCAGCTTGAAACTGTGGCAGAAAGAGTAGCCAGCCTAAGACACAGAATTGTTCCTGGAATCCAGAAACTCATGCTGGATGGCTACTCTATCTGGGTTCTTTGCAAAAACTGGGCGACAGGTATAATACTCAGAGCCACACGGATCAACCTTCTCAGATTCTGAAGGTTCTGTCTTCCATCCATTCGTCCCCTGTACACTGGGGATAGTGTGTAAAGAAGAGAGAAGTAGGAAGAGAGGCCCAGAGCTGAAGGCAGCAGTGCTTGACCTCAGACCTGGAAGGGCAGAGCAGCCACTTACGACAATCTATTGGCTTCCTCAGCAGGACGAACACACTCTGAACTGGTGTTACTGCTACTCTCGGAGACTGACTTGGACCCATCATCCAGGGAGTTGGACTCACGGCCGTCCCTTCTAAGCAATGGAGTCTTCGACATGGTGGTGAGGTCCTGTAACTGCCTCGAACCAGCCTTCCATGGGTTTTTCTCCAGAGAAACCAGGGCTGCTGGCTTGAGATGCTAGCTCCTAATTCTTGAGCGTGCCTGCCCTGGGTGAAGCCTGAGCTTGTGAATCAGTGAAGCGCCGGTGGCAGGGGAAGCTGATGCTGATTAGGCCTCACCTGACTTTTGGGGAATTTATGAGAGTCTCATCTCAGGAGGACCCTCAGTGCCCCTTGCATTTGATTGGCCACATGCCAGGATTTTCCTGGATGTTCAGCCCCTCCCACTTTAGCCCCAAAGGGAACAGTGTGACTGGGAGGAAGAAGGCACCATTGGACTGGAGGTCCCGTGCCTGGATGTGGGGCCAGGCCAGTGCTTCACTATCCCTGGCAAGGGGGAAACCAGAACTACCTCACAATGGAGGCTGCCCCGTCCAATAAAGTGCTGCAGAATCCCAGGATGCAGGTGTGGTCCAACAGAGGATAATCCGGCTAAGGGGTGAAGTGTGGCTTTTGTCGCCCAGTTAAATGCCACCTGCTCAGAATTTCTGTACAAGAGGCCTGCCACCTATTTAAAAAGGAGTTCAGGTAAACTTTAAAAATTATTCAAAAAACATTTATCAAGCATTAATATAGAAGTAAGCAAAAGTAGTCTTACAATTATGAGTACATGAAACACAAAGTTTATTCTCAAATTATTTATTATTGCAGTTTTTGTTATTATAAACCTACTTTTGCCTGCCCTTGTATACGAGGCACTGTTCTCCACATGGGAAAAATATTAAGGTAGAAAAGTACTATAGCCAAAACCAGTTTGGCTCAGTGGAGAGAGCGTTGGCCTGCAGACTGAAAGGTCCCAGGTTCGATTCCAGTCAAGGGCATGTACCTTGGTTGCGGGCACATCCCCAGTGCGGGGTGTGTGGAAGGCAGCTGATCAGTGTTTCTCTCTCATTGATGTTTCTAGCTATCCTTCTCCTTTCCTCTCTGTAAAATATCAATAAAATATATATTTTTAAAAAAAGTAGTACAACTTCTGCCCTCGTGGAACTTATGAGCTAGTAAAGAGATTGATAAAAAAAATGTTGAGTATATGTTCATAATAAGTACTGGAAAGAAAAATAATGCAGAAAAGGGAACGGAGAGTGCTGGTGGGGCGGGGGGAGGATTGCAATTTTAGACTGGAGGTGACAGGGGGCCTCACTGAGGAAGTGACACTGGGAAAAGGGCTGATGAGGTGAGGGAGCATGTGCTGTGTGTGTATTGGGTAAGAAACGTAAAGCAGAGGGATGAATAAGTGCAAAGGCCAAGAGGCAGGAGAGTGACTGGGGAATTACAGCAACGCTAAGGCCAGATGGCTGACTCAGAGTGCACAACGGAGGGGAAAGGAGTTGAGGGGCATATGTCTGGTTTGCCCAGGACTCTGTTGGTTTGTGCTTGTTGCCTTGGCACAATGAATAATTATCAACATTGCCTCTTTTCACTATCAAGAGTGAATGATAAATGGCTCAAATGATAAATTACAGGATCACACCAGAGATGCAGTGAATGTAAGTGGAAGTAACAAAAAAATGTGTGGCTTGGGATGGGCAGGATCCTGTCGGCCACTGGAAAGCCTTTGGATTTTACTCAGGGTTTTGAGCAGAGGAGTGACATGACTTGGGTTTGAATAGGATCTCTCTGGCCATTTTGTTGGCAGCAGATTGAATGGGGGCGAGAGCAAAAGCAAGGATGTGACGAGGAGGCTGTTGCAGTAAACGCAGAGATTACTGCAGTGGCCCAAGGGCAACAGGGGTTTTGACCAGGTGGCAGCTAAAGATGGTGAGAGGTGACCGAAGGCTGGACATCTTTAAAGCGAAAGCCAAGAGGACGTGCTGGCGGACTTACTGTGGGATGTTAAGAAAAGAGAGGGCTCGAAGATGACTCCACTGTTTTGGGGGTAACAGGAAGGATGGGCTTGGCATGAACAAAGTCTAATCTTGAAGATATCTTTGCAGGGCAAACCCCGGCCCACTGTACTTTGACTGTATATCTATTTGGGATGGTCTGGAGATGTTACTTACGAAGATTATGGGGGAGGGGGGGAAGGGCAACGTGTTCCCCATGGCAACTCTTAGTAATGCTCTGAAATCAATTCTATGAGCCTCTTCCCTCTCCTGAATATCAAGTGAGATCTCTCCCTCCTCTGATGCCTGAAAGGCTATTTCCCAAGTTGGGAATAACTTCATCTCCCCATTATATTTATTCCTTGCTTTAATACTCACTAGTGAATGCCTGCTCTGAATCAGGTGGGCGCCATAGACTCAGCAATGAACACTTTTAAGGAGTCTGTACTTTAGAGGGAAGTAGGAAGAGGACCAACAAGTAAACAATGAGAAAGTGATAGATTATATGAAATGCTATGGCATACTCATTTTAAAACAAAGCAAAACTACAAGAAGTGAGAGTCACCCTCATCCAGAGAGAACAGCTGTGACCAATTTAATGTGCTTCATTCATGCACATGTCCCACCACTAACTTGATGTGTAATACAGCTTTATAAAAAATAGTGATAAAATACATGTAACATAAAACTTATCATCTTAACCATTTTTAAAAAAATTGATTTTAGAGAGAGGGGCAGACCAATAGAAACATTGATTGGCTGTCTCCTGCACACCTGTATTGGGGATCAAGCCTAAAACCTGGGTATGTGTCCTGATGGGGAATCAAACTGGTGATTTCTGATTCATGGTCAATGTTCAACCACTGAGCATACTGGCAGGGCAGCTATGTTAGCCATTTTTAAGTGTGCAGTTCAGTAGTGTTAAATACATACACAGTGTGTACAACCAATTTTTAGAACTCTTCATTTTACAAATCTGAACCTGTATACCAATTAAACTTCCTTTTCCCTCTCCCCTAATATGTGCCCCCCAATTCTACTTTATTTTTTTTTCATGACTCTGACTACTGTATGTATCTCATAGAACTGGAATGATGCATTGTCTTTTTTTCTGACTGGCTTATTTCATTAGTATAATATCTTCAAGGTTTACCAGTATCTGTGTTGTGACATGTGTCAGATTTCCTTCCTTTTTAAGGCTGAGTAATATTCCATTATAATATATAGACCACATTTTGTTTATCCATTCATCTGTCAATGAACATCTGGGTTGCTTCTACCTTTTGGTTATTGTGAATCATGCTGCTCTGAATATGGGTGTGCAACTATCTTATTTGAAATGCTAATACAACTTTTTCACTTAATATGTGCTATCCATATTTTCACTTCACCAAACAGATGAAGAAATAAATTTTAACAATTGGAGAACATTTGATTTTTAAAGTAGGGTTTATTGAGGTATAACTTACATCTAGAAAAAGTCACCCTTATAAAGTATACAGTTCAACAAGTTTTGATAGATGCATAGCCTCATAACTAACACCAATCTATATAACATTTCCATCATGCCAAAAAGTTCCCACAGGACCCTCTGTGGTGAATCTTCTCCTCCAATATCCATATATTCAGTTGAGCATCTTAGACAATGTTATATAAATACAATCAGATAATATGTAAGCTTTTTTTAAAATTTTATTTTATTGATTATGGTCTCATAATTGTCCTTATTCCCCCATTCCCATCTCAAACCCCTCCCTCGATATGCCCCCACCACCACCCCAACCCCCGTTGACAATGGCCACTGGCTAGGCCCATATGTATGCACACAAGTCCTTTGGTTGATCTCTTCCCCTTATCCCCATCTTCCCTTACTTTCCTTCTGAGGTTTGAGAGTCTGATTGCTGCCTTTCTCTGGGTCTGTTTATATTGTTCATTATTTCCTCTAAATGTGTGAGATCATGTGATCCAAGAAATACCCCTGTAAGAACCTAAACTGCAACAAGCCATAATGGTTATGCTGAGAGGCAAATGAATCAGTCTGTAGTGAGTTCCTTTCTGGGCCAACAGTTCTTTTGAGTCTCAATTTCAATGCCAGATAGTTTCTTATGTGTACATGCCAGCCATGATATTTCAGATCTGGTTGGTGGACAAATGGTGGTAATGCAGGTCCGCCTGTCTCTGGTTTGGTCCTGGGCATCCTTCAGCAACCCGCAGCTGCTGTCTGCTGGTATGCTGGGGTGTCGTCAGCATCTTCCATCTCTGAATTATGTATGCTTTTAAATCTGGCATCTTTCTCTAGCATGATGCTTTTGAAGTTCATCCATGTGGTTGAATGCAACAGTTTAATCCTTTTTATGGTTGAGTAGTATTCCACTGCATGGACATACTAAAATGTGCTTCATTCACCTGGTGATGGACATCTGGATTACTTGTAATTTTTGGTGATTATGAATAAAGTTGCTGAATGAAGAAACATTTATGCACAGGACTTTGTGGTCAAGTGTTTTTATTTATCTGGTGAAGATTTTGGAGTAGGATTGCTTGTGTATTTTTAAGTTTGTAAGAAACCAGCAAATGATTTTGCAAAGTGGTTGTACAGTTTTCATTCCCACCAGCAATTTTTAAGAGTTCCAGTTGCTTCCTTGTCTAGTTTTTTTGTGTGCCTTATTTTAATTAATAAAACCTTTACTATTTGATATATAGGACATACCCAATTTTTCAGTGATGAGCAGCTTTATAAATATACCTTTGAAAATTTGATTGTTGCCCTAGGAGGACAAATAATATTCTTATTTTCAATTTTGATTCATATTGTCCGCCAGAAAAGTTGTGCCAAATGCACTACCACCAAAAAAAAAAAAAAAAAGAAAAGAAAAAAGAAAAAAAGAGTGCCAATTTTTCCACACTCTGCTAATGCCAACTTTTCATTAAACTTTAAAATGTTTAGAAATGTGATAAGTAAAATTGACTCATTGTTACTTTACCAGTAATCTCTATTTCTTTGGTTACTATTGAAGATGAACATCTTACATAATTTGGACATTTGTATTTGTTCTCTTATGAATTCCCTGCTTGTGCATTTGCCTATTTTTCTACTAGAGATTATGAAGGGGTA